CCTAAACCCTAAACCTAGGGTTTTGCAACTGTTGAGCTTCCAACGTAAATCCCCTGTCAAATCCTGAAGGATCGAGCCGTAAAGATAGCCCCGGTTTCAGGTTTCTTGAAAATCGTTGAAAGGGGGTTCAGGCTTTAGGGTTTNNGTTTAGAGTTTTGGGTTTAGGATTTAGGGCTTAGAGTTTCGGGTTTAAAACTGTTTAGGGTTCAGGGTTCAGGTTTAGGGTAAACCCTAAACCCTAAACCCTAAACCGAGTTTCAGGTTTCTTTGAAAGGGAGCTGGAACGAGGCCCGGGCTGTATGCCAAAGCCTCATCTGCCCAGCGGGTGGCGAGCACGATGTGATCGCCACCTGAGCCCATAGGGTTTAGGGTTTAGGGTATAGGGTTTAGGGTTTAGGGTTTAGGGTTTAGGGTATAGGGTTTAGGGTTTAGGCCCCATAGTGGTTCCTTTTTGGAATTACCTTATAGGATTCTAAATATGAACCCCAAAAGGAACTACTATGGGCGAGTTGGGGTTTGGGCTTTCGAGTCTTGGGTTTAGGGTTTTAGGGGTTCTGGAGTCTTAGGGTTTAGGGGTTTAGGGTTTAGGGGTTTAGGGTTTAGGGTTTAGGGGTTTTAGGGTTTAGAGTTTTAGGGGTTTTGGGTTTAGGGGTTTAGGGTTTAGGGGTTTAGGCTTTAAGGGTTTAGGGTTTAGGGATTTAGGGTTTGGGGGTTTAGGCTTTAAGGGTTTAGGGGTTGCGGGTTTGGGGGTGAGGGTTTGGGGTTTAGTGGGTTTGGGTATTACGGGTCTAAGGTTTTGGGCTTTGGGAGCTTGCTGGGGTGTTTGACAGCGCGCAAATGGCTCAAGGGCTATATGATAGGCTAGATGGTCTTATGCGACGAGTTCGAAGGGTTCCCAAACCCGAAGATGCTGCCTCTTCCGCCAAGCTTCTTAGCTTTGCGGGTGCTGAAATGTCTTCGGCCGATGCGACATCGCGGAACCTGGGAGGTGGTAGGCGGGGAAAGAAGGGACGGGGAGGGGGCAAACACTTAGCGTTTGCAGGGCTCAAAGCCCTCAACCCTATATATACCCTATAAGTCATAAGCAGCGAGGTTCGAAAGATCTTGTTTTCCACATTGTCAAACATCTACTGTTCAAGTCGCCACCAATACCTTCGAACCCCTAACTCCTCAACCCAAAACTGCTCAACTCCTAAACCCCTACCCCTCATACCCCAAACCCAAACCCAAAAAAGTCCTCGGTCCTGGTGGAACTCCACTACAACCCCTTACATGCGGACGCCCTCCGGCCCCCGAAGAGCAAAACAACAAAAACTGCATCCTAAGGTAGGGGCCAGAGACTAAAGGAGGTCCCTTTAACTACGGCTGATGGTCTAAATCCTGCATTACCCATAATAAGGAAAATAATATTCCTTATTATGGGTAATGCAGGATTTACACCATCAGCCGGAATACCCATAGTTTAGGGTCCTTAAGGTAATGTTGGATTCATATCATCAACGGGATGACAAGGAGCCCAAAGGAATGCTATTCGTAATTAGGGCTTAGGGTTTAGGGTTTAGGCCCCTACATTAATTCCTCCTCCCTAAACCCTAAACCCTAAACCCTAAACCCTAAACCGTAAACCGTAAACCGTAAACCCTAAACCCTAAACCCTAAACCCTAAACCAAACCCTAAACCCTCAACCCTGAACCCTGAACCCTAAACCCTAAACCCTAAACCCTACTTCTACTGTGTTTGGGGAACCCAAGGTCGTAGCTGTAGCATCTCCGAACTTGGCGCCCACATGTG